ACTCAAATTCCCCACACCCAGCCAAACTCAAATTCCCCACATCCAGCCAGAACTCAAATTCCCCACATCCAGCCAGAGCTCAAATTCTCCACATCCAGCCAGAACTCAAATTCTCCACATCCAGCCAGAACTCAAATTCCCCACATCCAGCCAGAACTCAAATTCTCCACATCCAGCCAGAACTCAAATTCCCCCACATCCAGCCAAAAGCCTCAAATACTCCAGACCCGAGGATCATCAAGAAATCAATCACCTTTCTAGATTTCAAATAGCAGTTTATTTTTTTTACTCCAGAGCCCTCAAACCCCCCTCCCCCCCATCCACAAAACCTAGTGAAACGGTTCATATCATAATAACATAACCCTTGAACTTTAGGGTTGTGAATGTGTATTCATGGAAGCATTAGCACATAAAATCCACCATCTTTCTCCGTCTTCCGCTTGATTAATAAGTTTGTGATAATTCAGTCCTATCCATTTCTTGATGTCATTCCAGATTCTTCTTTTCCCTCCTCTTCTTCTACCCCTCAATGTTCCCTGAAGCACAGTCTTTGCAATCGAATCATGACTCATTATGTTCCCGAACCAAGTTAGCTTGCGACGTTTCACCACTGCCAAGAGAGGCTGCAGATGTCAAGAGTTGAGCAAGGCAGTTGGTCACAAAATGTTGTTATACCAGCTAAATTATTCACAACTCTTCAGTTTCTGCAGTACTGATAACCACAGCTATGATATATTATGGACTTTGGAAAGCCAAGCTGGCATACTTGGCATACAGCCGGGAATGGAGAGTGAGAAGCAACAATGAAATTCATAATCTGTTTAAATCACCACTGATCACTGGCATCATGAGAGCTAATAGACTGAAATGATTGGGGCATATTTAAAGAATGTCAGATGACAGAGAAGTAAAAACTGTATACATGAGGGAGATGAATGGTCGTAGACCACAAGGCAGACAAAGAAGACTATGGAGAGATAATATCCAGACAGACCTGCAATCACTTGGTGTCACCAACTGGAAAGAGAAGGCAAACCAGAGAGATGAATGGAGGCAGGTGATATTTGCAGCAATGAACCTTAAGAGCTCAGAATGCTGAAGAAGAAGAAGAAGAAGCTGGTATACTTGCAAAACTTAAAATAAAAACAATTTTCCATCTAAGAACAGGACATTCTCAATTAGCACAAGCATAAAATAAAGACTACAGTCTCAACAGAATGCATGACAGACCTGAGCACATTCTACAGGCCTGCCCACTCTACCTACAACTTCGAAAAGAAATCTGGTCTCAAAAGCAAAGTGTGCAGAGAAAGCGACGAGGAACCATGCAGGACCTGCAGTTAACATGCGACTTCATAGGGCAGCACAACTGATGATGTGACCCGAGTACATGAAACTGAACGAAAAAAAGAAAACACAAATCTATGTACAAAAGAATTTAAAACGATACAAAAGAAAATGTGACCTCTCTCCTATGTGGCATATTACTTGGAACCTACGGATTTAGGGCTGGATGTCTAGTGTTGTCGCCATAGACACAAGTATGTGTGGCTAGACGTGCAGAAATTTCTTTCTTACTTTCTTTTATTTTTTGTTTGCATTCACCGGCTGTAAACTAAGGTGGAAAGTTCTAATTGTTCATCCACTTCTGAACTCTGGTATTGTTCCAGGACTTGAGTGTTGTGTGCACATCTGTGTTATAGACCAGGCTTTTTTTCTGTGCAGAATGTTAGTTCCTTGTCTCTCAGACAAATGTGCCTTGACTTCAAAGGATTCATTGATCCCATCTAAATCCGCTTGGCTCCTGGTTAGGAACCTGTTTCTTGGACTACTGAAGGTTAAGAAATATCTCCAGCCCAATCTTCCTAGCTCAGGGTAAACTCCTGCTTTTTCTTGTTTGTGTTCACCAGTTTTAGTAAAATCTGGCAGAAAAATGCTATTTCATTTGCTCACACTCTTGCATATCCCGGACACTATGTCCCTGTGAGTGCCTGTAATGACGACCACTAAGAGACTTGGTCCAGCTGCACCGCCATGTTTGGTTCAGAATCTCCCCATCCAGGTCATTCAGAACGCAATTTCTGCTTCTCAAATTAGGCAATGGTGCTTAAAAAAAAAAAACGATGACTCTTTAGTCTGAGAGACAAATTTGAAAATGCTGCGAAAATATAATTTGAGAAAAATATTAATCAAATGTCTAAAAAAAAACATTGTTTAATTGCTTGCAGCAGATTACAAGTAAAGTTACATTTTCAAGCTAGCAGGTATCAATCAAAGTAACAGGCTGACCTCCAACAAATGAAAGATGCTTAATTTCTTGAATACCATTGAATTAAATAGATGCAGTGATACCTAGGCTTTTGTTCAGATGTAGTGATAGATATACAACCTTGTATGCCTAAATTGTCATCGAGGTAAAGACAGGAGATACTATAACCAAACTCCTCAGAGAAACAATCAATAGAAATACCTTGGAGTGGATGCTGCACCAGAGGACTGAGCAGGCATGGGAAGGAACCAATGTACAAAGACGTCAATTGTGAAAACATAACATATAAGCAGCATGTGTAAGTAGCTCTGGTGATATGAATAAAATGAATTAAGGTGATGAAACAAACTGAATTAAGGTGATGAAACAAACTGAATTAAGGTGATGAAATGATGAAACAAACTGAATTAAGGTGATGAAATGATGAAACAAACTGAATTAAGGTGATGAAATAGCTAATGAAATAAACTGAATGTTTATGGCACAAACAAATTAATCAGCCATCAATGAAATAAATGACAACATCAAGTTTACAGAAGAAATTTCAGCAGATGTCAAAGAGGGACTACAGCAATTATGAAAAGATACTAGTGCATCACTTTCATAGAAGCTAAATCGCAAAATGCCTGTATGTAAATTATTTCTAATAGCTTATTCCCAGTACCATCATGCCAAGAGAATTACAGACAGAAGGTAACAAGCTGGGTGTCGGCTGCTTGCAATGGCAACATAGATTTGGGTAGTCGACTGAGGGTTTATGCTGCACTGTGAACAATGCATCACAACTCAACAGGAGAGTCATGCTGTGTTGCTCTATGTCACATAGGGCTCACAGTCTGTTCCTCCATTCCATGATATCCTGTGCAACCCCTTTGATAGCATGGATGGAATCTAGTTCAGCACCTTTGACCTCTCTCAACAACATTTCTAGTAGGATTTCTCTTGAACATCATCGTTTCTTCAATCCATTTGTGTCCCATTTCAGTGTCTGTTTGGTGATTCTCCGCCTGCTTCACTTCACCATGTAAGCAATATATTGCCATCTTTCACAATAACTCACTCTAGGATCATGTTTTAACATCTAACGAATAAAGAGAGGAAGTATAAGACAACTTTACCTACAGAGCATCCTACAACTTTATCACCCCCCCCCCACCCCCAGGAAAGTAAGAAAAGAATGCAGTCAATGAAGCTGGAAACAATAATAATGTAACATAGGAGTATACATGGTTATATGTCACAAATAAAAAATTGTGTGCATAAATAAATTCATCAGGAATAAGTACATCGTACACAGAACAAGTATGCTACAAAAGTAAGCACATAAATGATCAACATCAATTTCCACTTCTGCTGTTAAGCAAAGTGGGGAGGAACAGTTTGTGATCCATTGCTTGATGGACAGCAATGGCTATTGTCCTTCTGTGTTGATGTAGAAGCTCTTTAATGTCATCAATCCATGTTGTCCTAGGGCGGCCTCTTGATTTCACTAACGATCTTTTCATGTGTAGCACTGACAGTTGTTCTGGCTGCATTCTTAGTAAATGGCCAAACCATTTGATCTTCTGTTTCTCAGTGAATTTGCTGCATGGTGTTGTCCCCACAGTCTGTCTGATATCATTTCTAACTTTGTCTCGGATGGTTAAACTGGTGGTTTTTCTCAGGCATCTGATTTTACAGGTGTAAATTTTACGTAGGTTAGCCTTTGATAATGTCCAAGTCTGGCACTGGTAGCACAGTGTTGGTATGAATATGTTGTTTAGAATTCTGTTTTGTTTTGGCGGGTATGTTTATATTTACATGTCTCCCCCTCACCCCACCCCGAAGATATTTATAAGGATACATTTCTTTTGTATAAAAATTTTGAAAGAGTTCATTTTTTAAGATCTTACGTGGTAAAAGGGTTAAAGCGAATTTCATGATCTATGGTAAGTTAAGTTCATGGTTTATTTTTAAAAATTGTCATCATAAAAATAAAGTAAAGGAGCCTTCTCCCCACCTTCAGGCATACTGGGCATATAGGGTTAGACCTATATTTTATAGACCAATGGGCACTCAGTGGGTGATGTAGTCAACATCACACCAACCGTCTTTACTTCCCAGGACTTGACCTGGTATTTAAAGCTGGGTCGACCTGGCAGCCAAGTCATTACGAAAAGTCCAGCGCCATTAGGACCTGAACCCATGAACTTCAGATCCACAGGCAAGTGTCTAGCCACTACACAACAGTAACTCCCACTGTTCACCGTACAAGGCTAGATAATGTCAGGATTGATGTCAAATTAATTATTTGTACAAAGAAAATTTCATTAAATACGTTTAATAATAGAACGTACAGAAACATCACGATTCATTTAAAAAAGATAATAATGATACATATACAGTAAGTGAATTTAGCTGTAAAATCACACACAAATACAAAATTATCGTAAACTGTGGTGTATAAGTGGAGTTTTCAGACCTTAAAAAAAAAGCTAGGGGTTGACTTATATAGTTAGTTGGTTGGTCTTTCCTCTTGAGCCTAGGGCGGTGCATATAGCACACTCATAGCCAACTGTATAACTGGAGGGTCAACCCATGTATTAGGTATAGACTTGACTCAGAATTCTGAAAATCTTGAGCTCTCAACTTGTCCATCACAGTTTACTGTACATGCTAAATGAATTTGAGTATAAGCACAAGATACATGTAAAACAGGGCATTATTAGAACAAAACTGCAGCTGTCTAAATCTAATCTGTTCTGGTTCTTTCTGGTGCAGACTGGCTGCGTTTCACACCACATCCTTTGGAAATACCCGAAATCTGATGAATAGCTTTGTTGTCATAGAGTTCAAATGTTGAACCACTGGGTGGAGCCACAGCATTGTTGATTAAAGCTAAGGCTACGATTCTTACTGGCACCGATATTGCAGTTGGGAAAAAATAGGATACTGGTTTTAGAAGTGCCCGGAATGCTGCCTCCATGGGTCGACTTTCTTCCCGGTCAACCATCAGAACACTGGAAAGTGAGAATTGAATGTGCTAGTTAAACTGAGGTGAGTTTTTTTCCTATGGTACAACAGGTTGTTCTGTTCAAATACTGGTAGGACGAGGACAAAGAATCCCACAACAGGCATTTAAATGGGAAACACATGTGCTGAAGAAACAAGGTCACCCAAGGAAAACTACAATGAATATCGATGAGAGAGGCAAGGAAGGCATGCAAAGAAATGAGCAAGCTGATCGACTTGAAGGTAAAGCAAACTGTGAAGGTTGGAAAAGCCATGGACCATGCAGATATTCTGAATGCTCTACGAGAAAACGTTTGTGAGAACCGCTACGCTGCGGAATTTACTAATTAGGGGATCCAAGCACTTTCCACTGAATGGTTGGACTAACTAGCTAACTAACTAACTACCTACCTACTTAACTAACTAACTTAGAGAGGCAAGAGGAGAAGTTTTTCCTTTAGCATGACAGGTTTTTCTGTTGAAACACTAGAAGGAAGATTTGACATATCACTATACAAAAGGTACATTCTCAGGAAAGATAAATAAGTTTAAAAAAAAAAAACAGGCAGTGAGATGGGAAACATATGGACTGAAGAAACAAGGACACCAAAGAGAAACCCTACAATGGATGTGGATGAGTGTAATAGGGGATATTTTCACCCTGATTAGGAAGGTTGGGGTAAAAGCCCCAAGCTAACAATAATACAGAGAAGAAGCCAGATACTCGGATTTACCGAGGTTTTCAAGATAGGAGACGACCACGAGTTATCACGTGGAGTAGGTATAGTAATGGATCGTTTTGTTTCGTTTATTTTGCTATACATTTTCGTCGGTAACTATAGACGCGATTGCGACCCGAAAATTTGAAAACCAATTGTGTGTTATTGAGAAATTATTTTTCTGTGCTCTTTACGTGAAAGATAAGATCGGAAAAGTTATTAGGAGTTATTGGAGAGATGCCAGGCTTTGAACTGAGATGGTTTTGACGCTTATAAAATAAATCAATTTTTTTTGGCAGCACGCAGTGAATTAACGGTAAGTAATTTCGTAAATATCTTTTTAAATAGCCAGATTACCGCAATGTGTGGTGTATTTTTGAATTCTGCAAAATTTTTATATAAGTGTGGGAAATTTCACAAAGATTGGCAATACAGCACATGTTTAAAAAATTGTTTAGTGGCATCACTGCTTTCGCTTCAAATCCAATGACGGTAAGTAATTTCGTAAATATCTTCTTAATTAGCCAGATTACCGCAATGTGTGATGTATTTTTTAATTCTGCGTTAATTTTTATATAAGTGTGGGAAATTTCACAAAGATTGGCAATACAACACATGTTTAAAAAATTGTTTAGTGGCATCACTGCTTTCGCTTAAAATCCAATGATGGTAAGTAATTTCGTAAATATCTTCTTAATTAGCCAGATTACCGCAATGTGTGATGTATTTTTGAATTCTGCGTTCATTTTTATATAAGTGTGGGAAATTTCACAAAGATTAGCAATACAACACATGTTTAAAAAAAAATTGTTTAGTAGCATCACTGTTTTGGCTTCAAATCCAACAATATGTTTGCACTAGGAGACCGTTTTTGCCACTTTATAATTAACTTAAAATAATTATTAAATTACCTAACGTTATTTTAATCATTTTTAAAAAAATCCACAACCATTGTAGCATTTGTTCATGCATCTGTCATTATTTGGAGATATTTTTGCCTGATCACCCCCAAATCCCAATAATTAATTTAGGCCATCACTGGTAAGATGATTCTTTGGTAATTAACTTAGGATGCTTAGTAAATTGACAATGTTATGTGAGTTACTTTTTAAACATCCACAAACATTGTACCATTTTTTCATGTGTTTGTCATTATTTAGAGTTTACAGAATTTTATGTTGCAGATATTTTTACCTGCCCATATCTTGATCACGAATTTCACAAATTCTGGCACTAAATTCAACATTTTGTGTGTGTGTGTGTGTGTGGATGACGTACGAGTTAATTAATTGGAAGCATCTTTCGAAGTCAGAGTGCACCTGTCTGAGAGTTACAGAACCAACAGTCTGCATGCAAATGAGTCTGAACTGTAAAATGGATGCGCAGGCAACAATCAGGTTCTGTCAACAGACTAGGGTCCAGAAGTGGACAAACAGCCAGAACTTTCCCCTGGGGTTTCCAGCCAGTGAACGTGAAGATGAAGAAGATTATATATGCAGTATACACACAATAGGTCATACCATAAAAAAAAAACATTTACAGTTTGTGTTCAAAATGAGACGTTTTTAGTCATGACAGTTTTCACATTTGCACCTTTTTATGTATCATCTGTAACGTTCTACATTGTTTACAACTTAAGTATTCTCATGAATAGTATGGAGTTGAATGCAATTTTTACCAAAGACATTATTTTGTTTCACTGCATGCTGTTAAAAGTAGTGCAATAATAATGCTTAACATTTGAAATATGTAACACTGTACAGTCACATTATCTATAACACAGGAAAACTGCTTTAAAATTCTAAGTGCTTACTATAAGTCTGTCATGTTTATTTCTAACATTTCCTTAATCTAGGCAGAAGCCTTCAGACCTTGCATGCAGGCACTGAAAAGCTTGGTAGACAGACCAGAGGGCTTACTGGACACACAACTTGATGCATTTGGAAATGAGATGATGGACGCGCAGCCTGAACTAAGAGACATGGAGGTGGCCACCTCGGATGAGTTTGTGGAGACAGTAAAATGTTTATTGCATGAATTTATTATTGTTCTTGAAAGACAGTTGAAATATTATTTTGATATGACCATCCCTACTGAGTCACCAGAGTTTATAGAACTAACAACTTCAGCTCCTACTCATAATATGCATGCTGAGCGGACTCTGGGCATGATGGATGCCTTGATGAGAAGAGCCCGGCATGCTAACCTATGCTTCAGTGAAGCCAAGACAAAGGCTACCAAAAATCACACATTGGTCTGGTTAGATTCCCTTCCAAATAATCAGCTGCAGCAATTTGTTGATTTTGCTTTGAAACAGGCAATGAGGGTTAGACAGCTAACATGTGAAAGAGAGCAAGCCAATGAGAGGGTGGCTCTACATAAAAATTAAAAAGCTTGCAGAGATGCTTATGAGAAGGAGCTGAAGGCTGCAGTAGCTCAGATAGGGCTAGTTCCTGCACTGCTACAGTTGAAAATCTTTAATGATTTAGATAGTAAGTCCACAATTCATTTAGAGAGGTTTTTAACTGATAATGCAAGTTTATCAAATGTAATACTGCAACATGTTTGGCATCAAGAGGGCCAGGACTGTGTTTACTTTGAGATGGTTAGGAATGTGGGAACCACACAAACAAAAGATAAATGTAAGAAAGTTATTGATTTGTGGTACTGGAGAGAACATGATGAGCCATCAAGTGACTTTTGTAGTATGAATGTTAAACAGTTTTTAGTCGACTTCGCACTGGGGGATTTATCATTTTTGTAAAATAGTATGTACTTGTGGTCAGTGTTTCCATCGTCCATTAGTATGTCTTACATGAATAAGAAGATTATTATTATTGGTTTTGATTTATAATAAAAGAGCTGTTGAGCTCACACTGTCTCACGGGCTGGTATTATTTGGAAAAGGAATTTCAAAAGTGAGCTTAGTTGCTTTACTGGCAGGTTTAACAAATACTGAAGGTACACCTAATTTTGATATATGGTGTCATTTGTTTTGTGCTGCAACACATCAAATGGTTTTGAGTGTTTATCAATGTATCAGTGAGTTAGCTTATTGTATATTGTAACTTTATTTTATATTCATTTTTAGTGTGTGACTTTTTCCTGACTGTTATTCTCTGGGTCACTGCCTCTTTTCATTTTTTACCTGTCTCTGTCTTTCGACTTGTTGGTATCCCCACTGTATGTCCTCTCCTGTGGTATTCCCTGGCTCTGCTGTCTCATGCATTCAATTTGCTCAGGTCCCATATAATTTTAAGCTGTCTCTGTGTGATTTTCTATTCACTAAATACAGTCCTCTGTGTGTCGACTGGTCATGATACATACCAGTGTAAATGTTTTGCTCTTGGATGCTGGGCAAACATGGATACTACAATAATTTTTAAATTTTTTTTTATTACACAATAGCAGTTGTTTTCCAGAGAAGCTGTGGCGAATGTATAATCACATCAAAATCCCATGGTATATCAATCATCCATACTGTCTCTGTTATTAGTGTATGCTTAGACTGTTGTCTTATGTACTCCTACACAACAAGAGAGAAGCAGTGAAATGTATATGAAAACAACACTGTATAACAATGATCCTTGTTGTACTATTCCACCTGCCAGATGGATGTTTCCATAGTGGCTTTATAGATATAGCAGCAGCGTGTGTGAAGCTGTGGTGAATGTATAATCACATCAAAATCCCACGGTATATCAATCATCCATGCTGTCTCTGTCTGTCTGTCTACATTTCATATGTATCTATCTCAATCCCTCTTTTTTTCAAATGTAAGAACATTAGTGCTATTTATTGTTATCCCTCATGTATGCACGTTATCATTGATTTCTCACTGTGGCATCATTACTAGTTTATACTTTAAGGTGCTTCATGTAGTAAAGACATTCACATTCATACGCTTTCTATGTTAATTTTGTCAAAAACATTGCCAAACTGTGTCTTTTTTCTTCTGCCTTCTATACCCTAATGGGGCATTAGTCCTCAATCAACTCACGCTGTCATTATAGTCATTGCTATTACATTCCCTATCTTTTTAACTTCGCTTTCTAGCTCCCTTCTGCATGTGTTTTTATGGTCTTTGTATATTTTTATGCCCCTGTTGGTTCCAGTACAAAACTCATTGGCAGACAACTATAAATGTATACGGTTTTTGCTGAAAGAAAGTCAATTGATGGCCATTTTCATATGTTAATTAGGTCACGTCGACTGACCTTGGTGTATTTTTATGATCTTTGTGTTCACCTTGTCGGGACGTACAATTTGATATGCATGTCGCCAGGCTCGCTGGCGGATAAACTTACAGGTATAATGTTTTGCTTGAAAATAGTGAGCTGGCGGCCATTTTCATATGTTAATTAGGTCACGTCGCCTGACCTTGGTATATTTTTATTATCTTTGTGTTCACCTTGTCGGGGCGCACAATTTGATATGTATGTCGCCAGGCTCGCTGGCGGATAAACTTACAGGTATAATGTTTTGCTTGAAAATAGTGAGCTGGCGGCCATTTTCATATGTTAATTAGGTGCATAATGTATTATATGTTTTTAAAACGTGCATAGGCAGTTAGGTCTAACTGTCCCGCTTCCAGCAATATTTGGTTGCTAAGGGATTCGTTCAGAAACAAAAAAGTTATGGCCGTAAAATCAAACATTGAGTCATTTCATCTCACTGGGTCGCAGTCGGAAGCCATGTTTTATGGATTTTCACTACAATTTTTCTGTCGTGGTGTCCGCTACTAAAATGGTCATATCTCTGCTTAGAATCGACTTACAGGCTTAAATGAGGTACCATTAGATTTGTAATTTTAATCTTTATCTAGCTGTTATAATTTTGTAAGTAAAAATCCAAAAAATAAAACTTCACTACCATCCCTACGTGGAGCCAAAGGAGAATGTCCACAGGTCACCACGTGGAACCCAAGAACAATCACGTGTTGCCACGTGGAACGAACACTGGGTATAAGTTCAGACCCCAGTCTGTTCAAGTGAGTATGTGTTGACCGTCAGAGCGAGAGGACGTGAGAGTGTTCGTGAGAGTGAGAACGTGAAACTGATTGTTACGAAAGGAAGACCAGACAACAACATCCATCGAAGCAAAGTCCAGCCAAGCCAAGTGGTGTGAAGCTTGAGGAAATGACCAGATCTGTCTATGCGGCGATGTGAAAGTGAAGGCGCCGAACTCTGGTCGATGAATGTGTAAGAAGTCAGCGTGTTGGCGTCTGAGCAATGTGGTGCGTGTAAGCTGTGAATTAGGACACGGACGGGCAATTCCATGTAAGTGATGAGATGTCAATAAACTGTTTTGTACTTTAAAGTCGGCTTGTCCCAGTTATGTCATCTTAAAAATGTGTGCTAAGATCATTCTCTAGACACATACATCATCTCCTAGACAACCAGCCCAAGGTCATTAACTACTTACTGCAAGTAGAAGACGACTTATTGCAATGAGAGAGGCCAGAGGTGCTCGAGTGGATTCCATACAAGATATTTAAAGGATTGCACAGGATATAATGAAATGGAACGAACCCACGAATGAAAGAACTTAATTTTTAAAGGGTCAAGGTTAATTTAACCTTTATGTGGGCTCTAGTTTCACTCCTGTCATACGTTATTTCTCTCATACATTTTTCCACAAGTAATAATTAACTGCAGACCCTACCTGAAATATAAATGGCACAAAAGAATTATGATGATGGTGATGCTAATTAAGCAGTAATTTCTCTGCTATTTTAATTCCCTTTTCTGTACAGAGAAATGAGGTGACTACAGTAAAGCTATGAAAGTCTAAAATAATAAGAAAAACAGAAAGTATATTTCAGTTTTACGAAACTAATCGCAATAAACAAAGAATGTTGCGAAGAGTAGCCTTTATCAACAGCACAACAAGAAGGGAAAAACACAAAATGAAATGCTTAGAGTACATTCTCTGTGCGCACGTGTGTGTGTTTCTAGCTGATAATGAAGGCCAATCACAGAAACCAGACTTTTGTTTTTGTAACTGGTTCTGTACAGCTAACATACTTTATGTTTTTCCAATCCTTTCTATTCAATGATGAAGTTAGTATCCTCTTTGCAGAAAAGCATGATTAACTAGGGACAAAAACTTTCAGTACCCACAATTTGAAATCGAAAAACTGAATCATTGTTAAGAGAAACTGGAACACTGTTACAACTGGAAAGATATCTAGAAGATGAGATAAAGGAAGACAATGCGAGAATATTCTTGCCAGCTTTTTATCGTGGCATGGAGGGCTGTGAGCACATGAACAGATACATGTTGTTGAAGATCTTAAGTTGTGGAGAGGCATGATCACCCACACTAGTCAACAAGGCACTTAATGATAATGTAAGCTTTGCTGAATACCTCAGTAGATGGAATTATGAATGGCTGGATTATTTGGCTTTAAGTTTTCCAGGGGAAGAGATACCCAATCTCACGCCAACCCTCCTTAATAACATCCTGTGACACCAATCAATCAATCCTTATCGCGCCCAGAGGCACATAAGGCAGAGACAAACTGTCTCTACTTAATTCAATCCTGAGCCATCCTGTCACTAGTTTTGTCCTTTGTGTAGCCTTGAGTTCAGCCTCAAAGGTTCGCCTCCAAGTGCCTCTGGGCCTGCCTCTTCCCTGCTGTCCTTATGGTGTCCATTTTATTGACTATCCAGACCATCTCTCTTTCTTCATTCTGAGGACGTGTCCAATCCACCCCCATCTTCATTTTTTGATTTCTAAATCTTCTGAGTCAGTTATTTGTTGTAATCATCCTGTGACATGCATGGAAATTATTTTGGCTGTTCAGCCCGGGACATGCCTGGGTGTAGGGAAATGACAGACCTGACAGACTGGCCGTGTCTGCAGTGGTTAGTGTAGGAAGAGGTATGGGCAGATATACTGAATGCACTGCGTTCTAGAGACGCTAAGACAAAGGAGTCAGAGACAGCTGAAAATAAGAATTGAACAAGGACAAACATGCACAAAACTGATTGTGGGGCAAAGAAACCAGAGATGCTAGTCAACTCCTACTCAGTACAGTGAGCACAGAGACACTGAGATTGCTGCTGAACTGGGGTACAGTGCACAAATGTGTTAGACAAATGTGCTAGGCTGTTGATACAGACAACAATAACATGCATGATAAATTACAGCATTACTATTCTGTGCTTCCTCCATGGGTCTTGTTAATTTATGGGCATATCCTGATAAGACAGGCAAAATTTAACTGGACTGAAATCTTAAAAAGATGAGTTGAAATGAGTCAAGAATTGACATCACAGCACTCAGGGCATTCCCATGCATGCTCCATCCTCATCTTCAGCAGCCAGCGTAGAGTTCCAATACTGATGGTACCTGTCACAACCTGGTTACATGTCCGTCTTGCCTTTCCTCTGAGTGTAGTGAGCCGGCCAGATCCTCTGGTTACACCCAGGTGCCTCATTCTCTACAGGCCAAATAATATTGTTTCTCTACTGATTCTGTTGCTTATACCCAAAGGGCCTTGACCACATCTGCCTTGTCATGTATCAATTCACCACCCAATGGTGCAGATCCAGCCAATCAGTCTGCCTGTTCATTACCCACTACTCTGGTCTGGAGAAAAGATCTAAAGTATGCTCACTACCCATGACCTTCCCAGTAAAGCTTGCCACTTTGCTCAAAGCATCCCCGTCTTCACCTTTCTCAGTATGCTTTCAGAGTCTGTTACAATTATGACACATGGATGCATCTTGTTCTCTAACCACCGGAGTGCTCAGTTACCGCCGCCACCTCCATTCTCATGCTAGATGTTGTGATGTCGTAAGCTAGGCTGTCTTGCACAAAAGATTTTCCATTGGCTTTAAAAAGAAGAATAACAACAAATACAGTTTTTTTAGGAAACAGAAGAGATCTTACCCTGGTCTGAAAATTGACAATCGGTCAAAATGCATAACTTTTAGTGCCTCCTCAACCTGGCCCTAGAAGTGATCGCATGAAAAGAAAATGTTATACTTAAATGAGCTTATATCTCTCATATCTATTTCATCAATATCTGTTTTGTGCCACCCACCAACACAGTTTAGGAGATAAAAGAAGGCAAAGCTAAAGCGTACTTGGTTGCTTTGCAGGCTTCAATCTTGGGAAATTTTAGGCTGTTAGTGACTCCTTCGATCCATCTTCTTCTAGGTCTCTATCTGCATGTTAGTGTTTCTATCTTCATGTTATATGCTCTCACTGTTGGGATCACTGGGTTCATTCTCATTACATGGCTGAACCATTTCAGTTCTTGTTTTTAAATGAGTTTAATATAGGTATTGTTCCGATGAATCTTTGGACACATCAAATATGCAAACAGGGGTGAATGGAGAGTGAGAAGCAACAAAGAAATTCATAATCTGTTTAAATCACCTTTGATCACTGGCATCATGAGAGCTAATAGACTGGAATGGTTGGGGCATATTGAAAGAATGTCAGATGATGGAAAAGTAAAAACTGTATACACGAGGGAGATGAATGGTCGTAGACCACGAGGCAGACCAAGAAGACTATGGAGAGATAATATAACAGACCATCAAACACTTGGTGTCACCAACTGGAAAGAGAAGGCCAACCAGAGAGATGAACGGAAGCGGGTGATATCTGCAGCAACGATCCTCAAGGACTCAGAATGCTGAAGAAGAAGAAGAAGAAGAAGATTGTTCCCACATTTCTTCTAACCTCTTCATATATAATTTTCAATTAAAATAAAAAGCAAAGATGTGTACTGGATATTTTCTCCCTGTACCCTGCGGGGTCCCACTGAAGAGGGGAAAAAAATTGACCCGCTGACTCCCTTACAAATATGTCATCAAAGTCCACGAATTAGGAATTTTCTTTCGAAGTCAGAGTGCATCTACCTGAGAGATAGGGAACCAACAGTCTTCACATAAATAAATCAGATCTGTAAAATGGATGTGCAAGTTCTGGAACAAGACTAAGGTCCACAAGTGGATGAACAACCAGAAATGTCCACCAAAATGTTTCAGAAATAACGACAGAACTTGATACAGAATGATGGCAACAGACATGATTACCAATGTCCCCTGTTTGTGTTTTGGCATCTGGCGAGAGACTGAACATCTACAGTTTTATATGGAGTGTTATAAAGTCAGACATGGCATAATTTTTAACTGAAATTATTAAATTATTTCAACACATCTAATTGAAATTACATATTTTGAGGAGGAAAAAAATGACCATCCACATTATCAGAGGTCAAAGTGAAAAAAGAAAATATCAAATTCACTGCACCAGGTTTGATCCTACATAGCTCAGTCTATCTCCTCAGATCAACTAGCTGCCTGCGGACAGCACCCCACAAAGCACAAACTCTGTATCTTTGGTAACGATTCTCCAGAGGTCACTCTCTTAACTGGCCTGGACAGGTCAAGGCTACGCCTCAGGACAGAGCATAACAAACTTACCAAGCATATGCACTGGTTTCCTCTGAGTACTCCACTGTGTCTATGTGGGCTGTGCATACAAACTCCAGAACATATCCTGCAAGACTGTTCCCTGTGCAGCCCATTAAGAAGGGAATACTGACCCAATGAGTCAACTTCATATTCAAAGTAGTAAGGAACCAAACAGGAACTCCAAACAAACTGGTCAATTTTGTATGAAAAACTTATCTGCCAGTGTAAATCAGGGATGTGATTACAAGAAGAAGAAATATTTAACTTAGTCTTAGTCAAGGTTTCAACTTCATTTCAAATTAGGTCACCCTAAATTTGCTCCGTTCCTGAGCCAGTGAAAATCAAATGAAATGTCCCCCCCCTGCCCCATTTGAACAACTGGTGACCAAACAATTAGTCCCGGCACAATCCAGAAACATGCACATGCAGCATTTGCATAAGGCAGTTGCTAAAGGCATATATATTTAACTTACTTTTGTGCGGGGGTACAGAAAGCTGCTATTTTTATCTGCACCCTGCGACGACACGAGCGAGAAATGCTTGCAGCCTTGAGCCTTGGCCACCTCCGCTGACATCAGGACGTAATCATGGTCCACTCGGATGAAACCTTGCTGCGGATGAGAGAAATATAGTATCATTATCCCACACAGGTCGAATGTGTTGGTCGAAAGGGACAAGTACCGCAGCCATGTTGTAAACGGACACAACGCAATACATCTTCAGATGAACGCAGCAGAAGAAGAAGAAGATATCATTTTCCACTGGAGAGAAACCTTGCTGTGAGTGAGAGAAACACTCATGATTCACTCAGATAAAACCTTGCTGTGAGTTAGAGAAACAATCATGATCCACTCGGATAAAACCTTGCTGTGGGTGAGAGAAACAATCATGATCCACTCGGATAAAACCTTGCTGTGAGTGAGAGAAACACCCATGATCCACTCAGATAAAACCTCACTGTGATTGAAAGAAACACTCATGATCCACTCAGATAAAACCTCACTGTGAATGAGAGAAACACTCATGATCCACTCAGATAAAACCTCACTGTGAATGAGAGAAACACTCATGATCCATTCAGATAAAACCTCACTGTGAGTGAGAGAAACACTCATGATCCACTCAGTTAAAACCTTGCTGTGAGTGAGAAAAACACTCATGATCCACTCAGTTGAAACCTTGCTGTGAGTTAAAGAAACACTCATGATCCACTCGGATAAAACCTTGCTGTGAGAGAAACACTCATGATCCACTCAGATAAAACCTTGCTGTGAGTTAAAGAAACACTCATTATCCACTCAGTTAAAACCTTGCTGTGGGAGAAACACTCATGATCCACTCAGATAAAACCTTGCTGTGAGTTAAAGAAACACACATGATCTACTCAGATAAAACCTTGCTGTGAGTTAGAGAAACACTCATGATCCACTCAGATAAAACCTTGCTGTGAGAGAAACACTCATGATCCATTCAGATAAAACCTTGCTGTGAGTTAGAGAAACACTCATGATCCACTCAGATAAAACCTTGCTGTGAGAGAAACACTCATGATCCATTCAGATAAAACCTTGCTGTGAGTTAGAGAAACACTCATGATCCATTCAGATAAAACCTCACTGTGAGTTAGAGAAACACTCATGATCCACTCAGTTAAAACCTTGCTGTGAGTTAGAGAAACACTCATGATCCATTCAGATAAAACCTTGCTGTGAGTTAGAGAAACACTCATGATCCACTCAGATAAAACCTTGCTGTGAGAGAAACACTCATGATCCATTCAGATAAAACCTTGCTGTAAGTTAGAGAAACACTCATGATCCACTCAGATAAAACCTTGCTGTGAGAGAAACACTCATGATCCATTCAGATAAAACCTTGCTGTAAGTTAGAGAAACACTCATGATCCACTCAGATAAAACCTTGCTGTGAGAGAAACACTCATGATCCATTCAGATAAAACCTTGCTGTGAGTTAGAGAAACACTCATGATCCACTCAGTTAAAACCTTGCTGTGGGTGAGAGAAACAATCATGACCAATCAGATAAAACCTTGCTGTGGGTGAGAGAAACAACCATGATCCACTCAGATAAAACCTTGCTGTGGGTCGGAGTAGTATGCATGAATAAGAAAATATATAAACAAATGAACAATAATAATAATAATTCAAGTATTGCACATGACAAAAGAAAATACTACTGAAATCATGCAAGGATTTAGAGAGAGAGAGAGAGAGAAGGAAAAAAAAAAACCACACACACAGATAAAAAGAAAAAAAATTTGCAAGAATAATATCTAATTTTTCTTTTCTCTAATCACTATTCTTCCTTTCAGTGTTAGGTTTTGAAGAGGTATCTGATATGAGTATTAGTATTTGCTATGTAGATGCTGATATCCACAGCATTAGATATTCCATCTATCCATGACTTGCATGGTCGGCCTCTAGTTCAGCTTCCACTGTATCTAAGTGGCACAGCTCTCTGCGGTGCACTCTTGACCCTTCTGGCACTCCAGGCTCAGGAAAATCAAGGGTGACATTCAATCAGACTGCTACTGGTTTCATCAGAGTTGGAACTCTTCACTGGTTGCTGAAGATAGGAACAGAGCATTTATGGGAATGTCCTGAGTGCTGTTATGTTGGTTCTTAAAACTTGACTCAGTTCAACTCTTGTTTCCTGACATCATCATTTCTGACCGAATCTTCTTGTTACATTCAGGATCTGCCATAAACAAAGGTTATGGTGCAAGGTGTTAATGATAGACCTGCAGTCTATAGTGATGGTGAAGAGCTGGAGACAGTTGACCATTTTACCTATCTGTAAAAGTGAATAACAAACTATTGCTGGACCAAGAAATCAACATCAGGATAGGTCAGGCAGCAACAACAATGAGCAGATTAACAAAAAGAGTGGAGAAATGAAAGCTCATGATTCTTGTCTACAACACCTGTGTCCTCAGTACTGTGTTTTAGGGCAGGGAAACTTGGTCAACTTAATCACACCAAGAGAGACGGCTAAATAGCTTTCATATGCGATGCCTAAGAAGAATACTTGGCATTAAGTGGCAGGTCTTGCTAGTCACAGTCCCCATCGCCATACGCTGTGAGTCCCATGCCCCCTCAAAGCATAATATAACACTGTCGTCTGGAAGGGTGCCAATCAATCATAGACATTGCTGTTGATTTGCATCTCATTTTTTCAAGTGTTGTTAATGTCTGCTTTGGCAGTAGTAACACAATCTTGGTAAAAAAATAAAATTCCTAAAAGGATAAAAACAAACAACCCAAACATAAATGTTAAAAACAACCTACCACTCCAGACTTGCCTCTAGTAGTGCCGAGACAAGAGAATCCAGTGTCAAGGTCTTTGAAGACATCCTTATAATCGTCAATATTTTCAAAGTCAACAACTTTTTGTTCCTGTAGAGTGAAAAAAAAGACTCCTTTTATGCCAGCCAATCGGTACTTGGTAAGTGAAATGGTCAACATCATGCCGGTCATCTTTAGTTCCCAGGACATAATCTGGTTCTTAATTTATAACGTACCCCAAACAGGAAATCCCCGTGGGAAATCCACAGCTGACCTGACAGTCCATTATTTCAAGGGGTGGAAGTGTGCTGTAGTGTGGTCCTTTTTTTTTTTAGTGTTAATCTAGTGTCTTCTAATGCTAACCCTAACCCTAAACTTGGCTGTAGATAAATCGTGAGAAACTACAACCAGAACACCTTACAATTTATTGGGAATGTCTCCCGTGACGTTGTCGTGACGTCAGGGTAAGTTATAAATTAAGTACCCATTTTACCTGGGTCAAGTTTAGCGAGTGGTGCTGGGGGGGAAGGGGGGGGGTGTCTACAGTTAATCTGAGGAATAGAGGGGATCTGACTTGACATGGATTCAAACTAAACTTATAGGTCTTCAGGCAAGCGTCTAGCACTGATTCTCCAAGATAAGTATTCATGCCATTTTGTTGAATAATGGAAGTATTACTGTCAATTCCAGTTGGTCACGCAGATCATATGAAGGAAATATTAGGCAGCTTCTGAAGCGTATCAACTACAATTGTCATCACTGGTCACTTTGCTGTGACTTAAAAGTAGTCGCTTTTTTGCTGTACCGAACATTCGCTTCGGGGCCGAATAGTGGACCTAATAATTATTTGGTATTCGGCCAAATACTTGCAGTCGGGCCGAATACGAAGTGGTTACCTTACACCCACTTCTGCATACACTGCCTTAATGCTGACAACATGGAACGATTGATTTTGTTGAAAGCTAATGCAGCTTGCATGCATTAACTAAACTGTCAGTGACAATTTACAAGTTTAGTTACTTGTTATAATACTTAGAATACTGTCATTCTTAGTTATTAGTTACCACAGACAGACTGAATGTTAAAATGTTTTTAAATGTTTGCTATTCTGTACTAGATTTTGTGAAGTAAAAGTTCAGCGTACATTTGACAATATGAATGTTTTTTAGATTTATTTTATACACTATTCGTATTCTGCCGAATAGTTGGTCCCGTTATTTGTATTCAGTACTTTGTTTTCACACATTTATTATTGTAAGCAATGCAGATAATATGATTCTTTCTTCTTTATCATTCTATCTTTCGCTATTGCATGCAGCTCTTCACATGTCCCCTCCATCTTTTTAACTTCACTTTCTAGCTCCCTTCGCCATTTGTTTTTTGGTCTTCCTTTATTTCTATGACCCTGTGGGTTCCAGTGCAAAGAAATTCTACTTATATTGTTCTGATGTTTTCTCAACGTGTATCCTATCCAACACCAGCATCTTCCTCACCTTTTGGTCCACTGGAGCCTGTTTAGTTCTCTCCCAAAGCTCCACATTAGTGATTCTATAATACCATTTAAAACCCTCTATTCTATGCAGGCCCATGTTAATGAATGTCTGTAGTTTATTAGTAATTGCCTTAGTTGTTCTCCATGTTTCCGCTCCATACAACAGTACTGATTTGACATTAGAATTACAAATTTTAAGTTTAGTACTGGTTTTAATTTCTTTTGACCTCCAAAAATTTCCTAGAACTATGAAAGCTCTTCTTGCCTTTTGTATTTTAATATCTCTCTATCAGTTCCCTCATCTATATCTACATTTAGGTGTATTTGTGTTAACAAGGTTTCACTGTACCATTTATGTTTCACAGCTGGTCTTCTTCTTCTTCACGTTCACCGGCTGTCAACTCTGGCGGAAAGTTCTGATTGTTCGACCACTTCTGGACTGCAGTCCTGTTCCAGAACCTGAGTGTTGTTCCCCGTTTTACAGATCTGACTAATCTGTATGCAGACTGCTGGTTCCTTGCCTCTCAGGCAGATGCACTCCAACTTTTAAGGAATCTTTCACAGCTGGTGTTTATAAAGATTGTTCTAGCTGATGGCTACAGGTCACTTTCCACCACAGTTGTTGCATAATGAACTTTTCATCTGCCTTTAATCTCTCACTGAAGCATTAGACTGCAAAAAAACTGTTTTCCTCAACAACAACATAAACAACAAAAAGTGATGAATGAATAATGAAAAAATGAAGAAAAAAAGATGATGATGAAGATGGTGATAATGAAGAAGAGGAGGGTGACGATGATGTGTAGAAGAAGATGATGATGTTGACAATGATGTGATGACGATGATGCAAAGAAGAAGATGAAAATGAAGCTGATGATGTGAAGATGAAGAAGAAGATGATGACAATGATAATGTGAAGAAAAAGATGATATGAAGATAAAAATGATGATGTGAAGATTAAGAAGAAGATGATGACAATGATGATGTGAAGAAGAAGATGATGATGATGTGAAGAAGAAGATGACGATATGAAGATGAAAATGAAGATGATGATGTGAAGATGAGGAAGAAGAGATAATGACGATGATGTGAAGATAAAGAAGACAAATACAAACGTGAAGAAAAATTATAAAAACAAAAGTAAGAATGAAATCTTACAAATTCAGGACCAACATCTAGTGGAATTTCGCGACGTCCAACCAGGACAACCTTTTTGAAAATCTTCAGCTTGTTGAGTTCATCGACCAAAACTTTTCCCAATTCTCCAGTATGTCCAAGAACAAATGCGGAATGGCCCTCTGACTTAAAACGTTCTACATTCTCTGGAGCCTCATGTGCCATTCTGTGGATAAATTAAAATATATTATCACAATGGAGTCTGCAGTCAACCTCAAACATCCATAGATACCAGAAATTATCCGGAGGCCATTTTTATGAGGAAAACTGAGGTAGCTTAGTGACTAGGTGCTTACCTGTCAAAAAAGATGCTTAGGGTTCAAATTCAAATATGTCTTCCCCGAAAAATTAACCTTGGCTCTCTCTGGTCAATCAAGTCTAAACTGATTACTTGGTAACATCCTGAGAAAAAATGGCAGCAAAAAAGCTGACAATATCATCTAGCACATATCGATAGGTCTATAAAACATGAATCTACCATCATGTGCCTGACTGTGCCATTCATTACTTCTTCTTTGCATTCATCATCATCTTCATCAATTTCCACTTCCGCCATTAAAGCGTTGTAGGAAGGAACAGTTTGGAATCCATTGCTTGACGGGCAGCAATGGCTACTGTTTTTCCGGTTGATTAAGTTGGTGACTTTTCTCAGGCATCTCATTCCCCAGCTGTTAATTTTTCGTAGACAGGCCTTTGATAATGTCTGGCACTGGTAGCACAGTGTGGGTATGAATATACTGTTTATAATCTGTTTCTTGGCACTCATACTTATGTCTCCATTTCTTAATAACGGTGTCAGTTGGTGTGCACTGCCTCGTTAGCTCCTTGTTTCTATTTCCTGATCTATTCTTCCGTCTTCCGAGAATATACTTCCTAGATACTTAAATTCTTTAACATGTTTCAGACACTACCATTCAACCCGATTTGTAGTGGACTAGGAATTCTGTTGACCTGCATGACTTCAGTTTTAGTAGTATTTATCCTCATGTTATATCTTCTGCATGTCTTTGCTTCAAAGTTGGAGTAGAACAGCTTGAGAGGCAAGGAACTAATAGTCTGCATACAAATAAGCCAGATGTGTAAAATGGATGTGCACACAAATCTCATGTTCTGGAACAAGACCTTAGTCCAGAAGTGGACGAACAATCAGAATTTTCCGCGAGATTAACAGATGGTGAACGCAAAGCTCAAATAACAAATGATAATGAAATATTTACTCAAAATATTATAAAAAATAATTATTAAGAATATTAATTATTACATAAATTTACACTGTTAAAGCTAATTCAGAACTGTCACATTAATGATTTATTATATTAGTCAAAGGACGCCCAGGTTAGAATCCTTGGTAAAGTTGGAGATTTTTGTCTGTTGGGGGGATGTAAAATCCCAACGCTTTCTCTAATAATGCCTAACAACTAAATCACGGACTTTTTGAAAGGAGTCCCTCAGAAACTGGTTACTAGAAGCCCTTTCCATGTGTTGCATCGTGTGATATTTTAATGTGCTTACAAAGTTCTGTGTTCTGAATGTATTCATATTACAAATCGACAAGCGGATATTGTGAAGTGGATATACACGATATTGCTTTCATATTGACTGTGCATAAATAGTGCAACTACACAGTGGATAAATAGTGTCGAGATATTTTGGAGCTCTGGGTAAGTGGAAAAAAACAATATTTTATTTACTAACTAACCTCTCACAGCAAGTCACTCTTTGCCTCTTTACTAATTGTTGACTATCAGTATAATTAAATGTTGCAGAAGTACACTAATAATATTAATCCTCAACCATTTGTGTTCATTTTGGTGAACTGTCTTCTGCTTCATGAACACTAGCTGTAAACTCTAGCAGAAACTTCTGGTTGTTCATCTACTTCTTATGCACATTTGCAGTTGTACGGTCTGTGTTCATTTTTATGAACTGTCTTCTGCTTCGCGAACACTGGCTGTAAACTCTGGCAGAAACTTATGGTTGTTCATCTACTTCTTATGCACATTTGTAGTTGTATGGTCTGTGTATGTTGCACAGCATTTGCAGTTATATGGTCTTTTTTAATTTGCTTTAATTACCTTTAAAATAATATACCATTCATGATACTTAAACGCGTTGTTGCATGCAGTATTCATAAATATGTGTGATGTATTTTTAAACAGTTACCAAAAAATTCACACTGATAAGGAATTGTGTTCATCCAGCAAGATGAAACTGGACAAATTTGTTTGTGCTGTTTGTACCTTGAGGATAATTATTTAGTAGTGCTATAAGTACTGTTAAGAAAACTGCTCTGGGTGAAAAATGATTGCACATATCAATTTCATATTGACTGTGCTTGTTTACTAATTATTAAATAACAGTATAATAATATGTTGTAGTAGTCTACTAATAATAATAATAACCGTCAATCATTTATATTTATGTTATGTATGACATGTGTATGTTTCACAGCAGTATTTTTATGCGCTAAATTTGATAAAGTACAAATGTCACCGCCTCCCCCTTCCCCGCGGCTCCTCTGATGCAACAGTACCCTCTCAGAATTAAAGAGTTTGCACTAATACGAATTTTTCTTTACTTTTGCTGGAATAACTTTCAGTTTATATCTTTACGCTATTGATGTTTATGTTGACTGTAGCAAAAGCATTTTTGTTCGTCTGTAATAGCCTTTATTGTTATATTTTAATAGCACACTTATTTACCTTAAAAATAACATATAGTTCTATAAAATAAGTCGCAAATTAATGAAACTGTAGTTTAATTTGTATTTACATCTCCTAAAAAAAAACTGTTAATAACTTTATACAGAGGGACTCCATTCTTGCACAAGAACGGGAATCCCCATTGACCTGTTTGGCCTATAAATAGAGAAGGCCGTGTGAAATCTTAATCTGCAGTCTGTGGCGCAGCACTAGCAATGCAGTTCCAAAACCTCTGGCTCAATGACCCCGTGCCTACACCACAAAAGTAAAGGCAGTAATTGGCAGTATAATTGAGTATTGATTATCAGAAATAATATAATAATATTAGTCTAGGGGATGTAGTAATTTTATGGCTCTCCTCCGAACTTCTACCCCCGCATTATGGTGGCCTGAAATATCCGTTCGGGGCTCAGTTCTATTAAAAATATGCCAGCTCCGTATAATAAAACAAATGCTCTAACAGGGTCTCAGCGATATGTTACTTGCGGACCTGTTTCTTATTGTTTCTGATTACCTGACAATTCTAAGAGACGCAACACTGTAGACGATAGTAGCAGACGATAATAGCGACCGTTGACACTTTCCACTGTCAGACTTTCTGCCGAGGAACAAATATGTAAAATGGGGACTTGTCGGACTGTCTGCCGATGAACAAATCGCGGTAAATCTAGGATCGGCTCAGAAAAACGAAACAAATGCTCTAACAGGGTCTCAGCGATATGTTACTTGCAGACCTGTTTCTGTGACTACGCCTCACCGCCGACCGTATCCCCCGCGCTGCTGCATGGATAGGGGCTAAACTAGATGGCTGGGACTCTCGAGCAACAGCTACCGCATTTCCTGCAACTTCCTCCAATTACTTCACTCGTGAGTCCCAGGCACCTATTTTAGCCTCCTATCCGCGGTGAGTTTAATCGCGTTTTGCGCATGCCGACAAGTCTGACATCTACCGCTGCTAAATCCTCAATCGGAAGAACAGTATTGCTAATCTGCGTGGGAGCGCGTGGTCTACCCGCCATATCGCTTTCATCGCCTGTAATGTCTCGAAATTGTCAATGGTCGCTTTTATCATCTGCTAGTATCGAAACGCTCTAAATTGTCACCGGTCACTTTTATCGTCTGTTACTATCGTCTGCAATGTTGCGTCTCTTGAAATTGTCAAGTAATCTTAATTTTGCCGCGATTTGTTCCTTGGCAGAAAGTCCGCATTTTTTATTGGACTGAGCCCCGAACGGATATATATTTCAGGCCGCCATAATGCGGGGGAAGAAGTTCGTAGGAGAGCCAATATTATTACCTACTACTATTACTACATCCTCTAGAAATTATGTAATATTTTATTTCGTAACATTTACGTAAATAACTGCCAGCGCCCGTTACTGTTCAGTGATCACGTTTATTTATTATTACATCTATGAGTCAGTGATGCCAACAAATTCATCCATGTTTGTTTTCATGTTTCGTTCCTGGCCTGGCCGTCGCTTCTTCATCCATGAATGATAATCGATCAACCACAAATAATTGAATTTCAAATACAGACCGACCACTTACGTGCAATGCTGTTCTGTATTTTCTGTGCCCTCCAACTCTCGTTTGATGAAAAACCCAGCAAGAGCTACTGCTAAAACACCAACTGCCAATGCAGCCGAGGGAAGAATGATATCACATCTAAACCAAAGAAACTTCATTGAACAAGGAGTGGGCCGAAGTCTGCGACAAAAATAAACAACAACTCTTCAAGGACAGAAGTGGGGAAGCTACACTTTTGCTGTTAGCTTCCGGTTCTACTCTCCCTTGTCTTGTCATACATAATTAATCCAAAGAGTTGAGTCAAGAATTGACAACATCATAGCACTCAGGGCATTCCCTTGCAAGCTCAGTCCTCAATATCAGCAGCCAGCGCAAAGTTCCAATACTGATGGTACCGGTCACAATCTGGTTATTTGTCCGTCTTGCTTTTCCTTTTTGAGTGTAGTGAGCCGGCCAGACCCTCTGGTTACACACAGGTGCCTCATTCTCTCCAGGCCATAATAATCTTCTTTTCTTTACTGATTTCGTTGCTTGTTCCCAAAGGGCCTTGACCACATCTACCTTGTCATGTATCAATTCACCACCCAGTGGTGCAGATCCGGGCAATCTGTCTGCCTGTTCATTACTCACCACGCCGGCATTTTATCCAAAGAATGAAAGGGTTTGGTTATTTGGACAGAATGGAACAAATTCAGCCAACAGTTAGAGAATGAGAATCCCCGTTTGGTTTCCGGGGGCCCACTGTAGGGCAACATGAATAGACCCACTGCTTCCCCAACAAGCGTGGCGTAAGAGTAGACTAATTAGGGCTTCCTTCAAAGTCGAAGCGCATCTGCCTGAGAGGCAAGAACCAACATTCTGCATACAAATATGCAAAAAACTTATGCACACGAAAAACTCAGTTCCTGGAACAAAGCCAAAGTCCAGAAATGGACAAACAATCAGGTCTTTTAGACGAGGTTTACAGCCTTTGAACGCAAACAACGACACTACTTGAGAACAGCAGGCCAACGCCGTATCTAAAAAGAGAAGGCCGGGAGCAGGCTACGAGGCAAGAGTTTGACCAAGAAAGTGATTGGTTGATGGAGTGAAGGAGACATTACAGAAAGGCTGTATGACATCATCACAAGCTACGCTGGGTGTCTGCTGAGATCAAGTAAACAGAGCAGCAGGACACGCACAGCATCGATATGGAGAGAATCATTCCGTTGGGTGTGAGTAGAGGGTCTTTACCCGAAAAGGAGGTGGGGGGGGGGGTGTTAGGGACATTATTAATCATATTGCAACATAAATAAGAATGCTCTTCATTGGCTCTTGCAGAAGGGGCGGAGCACATTTGTTTATGTCCCGAGTGTACCAATGTAAAGTTTTGATTCATTCATTTAGCAGCATGACGATGGAGGTGAGGGCAGTTCGTGGCTCGAATCACAAAACTACACCCTCGCCTGTGTACTCAGTGATTCAATTGTTATGATCCGGAGGGTTCAGACAGGGTTGGTGCAAAGGCGGTGGCTTGAGTCACTACAGAAGTCGACTGTGCGTGGAGTCACCTTAATTTTCGTTCCAGGATGAGCGGGCATCGATAGGAATAAAAGAGCTGATAGGTTGGCTAGATCCGCTATCACTACTGACGGTCAACCTATGGATCATCATCATCATCATCGTGTGCCCTGCCTACTGGCGTAGGTGCCCAAGCGTCTCCACTGATCACTATCCCTGGTTGCCTGGAAAAGCTTTCTTGATGATATCCTTTCTTGTCATCGTTTTGCCCATCCAGCATAGTCTCTCTTGGTCTGCCTCTACCCCTTTTCCACTGATCTTTCCAGTTATCATGATGTTCTCCAAAATCTCTCTTCGCATTATGTGGCCAAAGAACAGTGTTCGTCAATTTCTTATTGTTCTATATAGAGATCTACTTTCGTTAGCTTGATTTGATTCAAGAACCGACATCACAGCACTCGGGGCATTCTCATAAGCGCTCCGTCCCCATCTTCAGAAGCTAGCGAAGAGTTCCGATACTAATGGTGCCATAGCATTCTGATTAAACGTATGTCTTGCCTTTCCTCTGAGCCTCGAGCATCTGCCAGAACCTCTCGTCACTCCCTGCTGCATCAATCTCGCCAGACTGTGGTGATCCATCTGCTCCTCCAAACTGTACACGCTCTCCCACAAGGCACTAACCACGTCTGCCTTATCATGTATCATTATTCCACCAAGTTGTGCAGAGCCAGCCAGTCTGTCCGCGTGTTAATTTCCCAACATACCGGCGTTCCCCGGTGAAAAAATCCAGACAATACTCGTCACCTTTCCTCCGCAGCGAAGCGTGCCACTCTGCATGAAGCATACCTGTTCTGATCTTCCTCAGCATGCTTTCTGAATCAGTTACAATCACGATGTGTGTGTGTGTGTGTGTGTGTGTGTGTGTGTGTTTGTGGTGTTCTCTAGCCAGCGGAAAGCTGCAGTGACCGCCTCCACCTCCATTCTTAAGCTGGATTTTGTGGTATCATATATTAGGCTCTCCTGCACCAAACATTCGATCATTAAATTTTGCTAAGAAGCCCCAAGCACTAGTTTGTTTTCGTTAGCTTCTTTCAAGCAATCGTTGTTAGAAACTCTGGTCTTTCAAGATATTCGTAACATTCGTCTTACCGTTGCGTACAATCAGAAAAAAAAAAAAAAAAGAGTTCTGGTTGTCGCAATCGACTCCAGTCCACTTCAGGCATTTCCATGCGTGCTCAGTTTTCCTTACAACAGCCACCCCATATACCTCTGCATGATGGTGATGTCCCATGATCCCTCCCGTTCCAGGTGTGTAACTCTTGTGTGTGTTTATTGTAACTTCCACGTCGCTGTGTCCACTCAAGCAACGTCTGCTTGTCTCCTGGATCTAGTCGTCAACTTTACAACCGGTCGCTCGATTCTTTCATTTACATGGGTACTGTTATTTCTTTTTCTTTGTGCTGACTGATATTTAACGGTAGAACTTCATTACTGCATGGTCGTAGTAGTTTAATTCTGCGGGGCATTTTTTAGTGTTTGTAAAGTTTGTTTATAATATCTCCTTTTGTTGCGAGATGCCGGCATTAGTAGTATTGGCTCTCCTTGCAGATCCGGACGAGGGTTGGACGCGGGCTGGACGACTTAGTTCAGTTTAGTGGGAATTCTCTTCCTTGGCCGCACTCGAAACAGTGAGCGGAAAAGTCCACGAAACAAATGACATACTTACCTATCATCATACGGTTGCGTGTAAGGTTGCGTACGGTTGCGTTTAGGGTTGCGTAGTCATCATACGGTTGCGTAGTCGTCATAGGGTTGCCTGAAGGGTTGCGTTGTCATCATACTGTTGCGTGTAGGGCTGCGTAGGGTTTGGGTTAGGGGTGTTGGTTAGGGGTAACGTTAGGGTTAGGGTTAGATGTGAAAATTGTCATGTAGGAGGTCGAAATAGTGGCCGACAATCTGATGCTTGTGGGAGTGGCGCCACTGAAAGTCTGCCAAATATGACGCCAATAGCGGGCGGCTGGTGCCCAATCGGTGGCGAATTATCCGTGTCAGTAGCATCCACCGTCCGTCGACTGTTTGAGTGTGTATGTGACTGTGCGCGATTATAGGGAACTACGGCGTCAAAATTGTCACATCTAACGCTAAACTTAACCCTACCCCTAACCCTACCCCTAACCCTTACGGCAACCCTAACGCTACCCCTAATCCTAACCCATAACCCTAACCCTAATCCTACCCCTACCCTAACCTTAACCACGCAAATTTATCGGTCATTAAAGCATACAAATCGGCATAACAAAATAAATAAAAACAGATATCCCCGCAGTGTCACACCCAAGCATTGGCAGCCCTGATGTCGACCTCACTGTCTTGTTTGATTCGTGACTTTTTCCGCTACTTGTTTTGAGTGCGGCCAAGGGAGAGAACTCCCACTAAACTGAACTAAGTCGTCCAGCCCGCGTCCAACCCTCGTCCGGATCTGCAAGGAGAGCCGTAGTATTTAGTATTGAGTCGGCTATGCTGTCGTTAGTTGAAACATTTAATTATTTATTTGGCTCTACTTGGAATAACGGTTCTAAATGAACTACGCAGAAAGTTAACCCAAACAGAGCCTCACAACGCAGACAGTTAACCCGAACAGAGCCTCACACATATGTACAAGTCGCATGTCTTTTGCGGCGATTCAACTATTCAAGATTAAACTATTCAACCGTGTCAAAAGTAGTATTAATAGGTACTTTAGTCAAATTTTTAAAATGCCCTCAACACCAATAAAACCAGCACAGTTAGATAGATGTAAACAATCTCTTTCCAATGGTACCTCATTTAGGCTTGTTTGTCATTTCTGAGCTGAGATATGTAGGTTTTTGTGGAGATGAGATGTAAAAAACAGCTGCTAAAACTTGTGTCTGAGAAACAAGAAGTTTTCTCTGCGCAACCAAACTGCACAACTTTCATTTTGGCTTTGTTTTCATTGGACAAGATGGCAGACAATTTTTCTCAGACACAACCACATAATAGCGATTGCATGAAAAATGTCACTGTAAAACGAAACAGCCACAGATAAGAAAGAAATTTTGGAAATTTTATACACAAATGTAAAATTGGACGGAGAATTCAATTATAACTAGCATTACCATGTCTGGTAATGTTTAAGGCCTTAAAGCCAACCGTCAATGCTTAGCGCTATTTTCAATCAAACCAATGTAACAGAAAAAATGAGGACGTCCGGCTGTCATAGACATGCGCTGTTAATCGGGTTCGTTCCCGCCGTTTTCGGCTATTCATAGCTGGTGAAAATCACACCAATCGCAAAATTTCATGAGAGATTAGGACCCATCCCCAAATCCCAGCCGACATTTCCCAAACAAGTTTCAAACGGTTTCCATGGTAACGGAAAATGCCAAAAAGACCGCAAATTGTCGAAACTGTAGTCGCTAGTATTAACTGCGTTGACATTTTCGCGGAAGGCAACTGATTTTTTACGGCGATTAGATGGCGGCAAAACAAGGATTAACTGCATACGAAAAAAATTACCGACACGCGACAATACTCCCGATAGCGCTATCCTACGGCAGGGCCCGAGTTATATGTAAGTTGCCGATCGCTTTTCGCCGACTATAGTGCCACCTCCGAGAGTATCCCCTGTGCCGCTACGCGGGGCACGGAGGGGGCTAAACTAGATGGCTGGGACTCACAAGCAGCAGCTACCACAGCTCCTGCAGCTTCCTCCAATGTATTTGCTTGTGAGTCCTAGCCATCTAGTTTAGTTCCTTCCGCGCCGTGCATAGCGGCGCGGGGGATACTCTCGGAAGTGGCACTATAGTCGGCGAAAAAAGAAGTTCACATTTTGCACGTTACTGACCCCAGGTCAGCGTACGTTTCCGTAATGATCTATCTGCGCATCCGCACTGTTCACTCGTTCCTAAGGGCACTTACAACATCCAGCTCGTCATACATCAATTCACCACCAAGTGGTGCAGAACTGGCCAGTCTATCTGCCTGCCAATTTCCCAACACACTAAATGCTAACTACCCAGGACCTCTGAAGTGATGCTTGCCACTCTGCACAAAGCATGCCTGTCTTCACCTTTTTCAACATGCTCTGTGAGTTGTACAAGAATTGAGATAGATTTATGAGAAAAGAAATCAAATAATCAATTGTGTTGATGTGTTGCATGGAGACAAGATCGAGTGAGAAACGATGTGATTACAAGAACTATTGGAACCATACCCATCGTTAAATTTATTGAGAAGCAAAGAATGAAATGGTTTGGTCACCTAATGAGAATGGAACCAACGATGCCAGCATCAAGAGCATACAACATGAAAATCGAAACACCAAGAGGCAGGGGAAGACCAAGAATAAGATGGATTGAAGGAGTCACGGACAACATGAGACTTCATAACATCACGCCATATGAAGCGACTGAGCGCGCCCTGGCTCGGTTGCCGATTATCTGATAGACTGCGACGCCTAGTGGCACAAGCAGATTTTGACAAAAGAAGAAGAATGTAGTGTATAAAAAAGACCCCCCCCCCCCCCCTCACCCCCCCAAAAAAATGGTTGCATTTTATATATTAGAATGGAAAAAGTAGCAGCTAAGTGTTTGGGTTTCAGAAGCACAGCTGAACATGTGATGGTAACAATGGCCATAAAATCCCATTTGTTAACTGGTTGTGCTAATCACATTCGCTATCTCGATGACTAAAGGTTAGAATTCACATGCCTCGCTAAAGCACAATGTAACACTGTCGTATCTTCTGAAAGATGGAAAAGTATCGAGAACAGCTAGTAGATTTCACTTGTTGTCTAGTAATTTTGTAAATCATCAAGAAAGTTTGATGCAAACAATGGAAAATACACTTTATTATTGTTTACTCTTTCAGTCCGCGAAAAGCATGCCTTACTTTTACTCATTACATCACAGACATTTGTGAGGCATGTATGGATCTGAATGGGTTCAAAGAAGAACACTGTAGAACGACAGCAATGAGCAGAATCTTTGTTTCTTTTTTTTTCCTCCTACCCCATCTCGAGGACTGTGAGATTTCATGTGAAATTCCTGGGAAAGTCCAATAATATAGGGGTCTTAGGGTGTGAAATGAACACCAACTAACCCTAACCCCCCCCCCCCCCCCCCCCACAGTATAGGACTTCATGGGAACCACAACATTTTGGAGTTCCTGAGATGGGGTGAAATAAAAGAAAAGAACTGATTCTTTTTCTTCGTGTTCCCCAGCTGTACGTAAATTCCTGCAGAAAGTTCTAGTTGTTCATCCGCCTCCAGTCCCTAAGTCTCATTCCAAAACTTGAGTGTTGTTTGCACATCCATTTCACAGATCTGACTTTTTTTGTATGCAGACGATTGTTTCCTCACTTTCTCAGCACCTTTCTTTGAGGCAGTGAAACTTCGTCAACTTATTCGTACCAGGAGAAACCGCTAAATAGCTTTTGCATTCAATGCCTTAAAACAGTGATTCCCAAACTGTTTGCGCGGCTCCCTGAGGAGCCGCGACCTCTTTACATATTATTTCTTACATACGAATAGTCATACTTTTACTAAGGCTAGGGCACTGTGGAAAAATTTTAATTGCAAAAAGGCGCTGCAACAAAGAAAAGTTTGGGAAACACTGCCTTAGAAGAATACCTAGCTTTGAGTGGCAGGACAAGATTACAAACACTGGGGTATTGGGGAAAGCAGGTTACACAACCATTTTCTCAATGCTGAGTCTGTGAAGTGTCAGGTGGCTCCGACAGGCTTGGAGTATGATAGAGTTCCTAAGTACATCCTCTACAGTGAATCACAGATTAGTAGAAGGTGTTCCCCCGTGTGGGTCCCGATCCCATTGTGGGAAAAACAAGAATAGACCCACTGCCTCCCCAAAAGCATGTCGTAAGAGTCGACTAATTGGGGAGCTTCCTTTGAAGTCGGAGTGCATCTGCCGGAGAGGCAAGGAACCAACAGTCTGTATTCAAGAGAATGAGATCTGTAAAACTGATGCACACGCAACACTCAGGTTCTGGAGCAGGACTGCAGTTCATTAATGGACGAGCAACCAGAACTTTCCGCCAGAGTGTACAGCTGGTGAACCCGAAGAAGAAGAAGAAGTAGAAGGTGTTGAGTTTGGCTTCTACTACAGTATATATTATGTGTACAAGTGGGGCATGAATTATACAGGTATTGAGGTAGATTTGTGGGAACCACATGTGATGGACCATTTTGCATAGGGGGTGTGTGGGGAACATGCCAACAAGAATAGAATGAGTTATAGTATACATTGGAATAAAATAGGTTAATTTCCCAGCTAGGTGAGGAATACAGGGATAAGATGAGTTGAGTTGAGTCAAGAAATGACATCACAGCATTTGGGGAATTCCCATGCGTGCTCCGTCTTCATCTTCAGCAGCCAGCGCAGAGTTCCAGTACTGATGTACCGGTCACAATCTGGTTATATGTCCGTCTTGCCTTTCCTCCGAGTGTATTGAGCCAGCCAGGCCCTCTTGTTACACCCAGATGCCTCATTCTCTCCTGGCCATAATAATTTTCTTTCTCTACTGATTCTGTTGCTTGTTTACAAAGGGCCTTGACCACATCTGCCTTGTCATGTATCAATTCATCACCCAGTGGTGCAGATCCAGCCAATCTGTCTGCCTGTTCGTTACCCACTATGCCGGCATGGCCTGGAGAACAGATCCAAAGTATGCTCACTATCTGCGACCTGTGAGTCTTTTGGAGCCATTCCTGCCCAATATGGTAGATAGGTAGCCTTACTGTATTTAGTTTTGGCACGTTTTTACTTCTGACAGTTGTTGGCTGTTGTATTTTTTCTATATGTGGACTGAAAGGATGTAGTTCCATCGCCCAGCTACTGAGTTGAGCGCATGGAGCGATACTGTGAAATGCGATTTCATTTGGAATGTATTTCAGCTGTGTCCAATGTGGTTTGTTTTGTGAACTGCAGATTCAGAAAATTGTGAGTGGCCTGTTGCCAGAGACCTGGTGGTACCTTGTATGTTTAATTTGCATGTGCAACTACTGATTTATTGTAACTTTGCTTCCATCACTGATGAGTGCATTTCTAGTGCCTGACTGTTTGTGTTAGCGCTTTGGGCGACCAATGTGTGATCATGCTGTTGTCATTGCTGCAATGTGTTAGTTATTGTGTGATCATGCTATTGTCATTGATGCAATGTGTTAGTTATTGTGTGATCATGCTGTTGTCATTGCTGCAATGTGTTAGTTATTGTGTGATCATGCTGTTGTCATTGCTGCAATGTGTTAGTTATTGTGTGATCATGCTGTTGTCATTGCTGCAATGTGTTAGTTATTGTGTGATCATGCTGTTGTCATTGCTGCAATGTGTTAGTTATTGTGTGATCATGCTATTGTCATTGCTGCAATGTGTTAGTTAATGTGTGATCATGCTATTGTTATTGCCGAAATTGCAGTCCATTTTTCTCAAAGGAAAGTGAAGGGCATTCTCTGGTTTGTGTTGGCCGTAGAACGTAGTAACTGTGGTGTCACTCGTGTGCTGTGAACTTGGAACTACGATTACCTGATGCCTTTAGTTTATTATGTTTCTTCTTGGGTGTGTCTTTTTTTTAGTGTATAGATCCTGTCTTATAATCATTTCTTGCCACCCATGTTGGTCAGCACTTTATGCCGCTGAGGTTTCCACTACTATGAGTTATGAATTCCATTACTATGAGTTATGAATTCCATTACTATGAGTTATGAATTCCATTACTATGAGTTATGAATTCCACTGCTATGAGTTATGAAAGAGTTGAGTCTAAGTATTGTTAAATCCTGCAATGTCTGTTTAATCAAGGCCATGCAAGGATATTTGAACAGCCAGCGGACCCCTAAACTAAGTCATTATCTACAGTTTTTTTGGTGATTTTATCATTGTCTGTTTTTTGTATGCCTATAAAGGCTATCTGACCATATTGTTCATTTTGTTTGTTATAATTGTGTGTTTCAATGAGAAGCTGATCAGTTTTCCTTCTCATTTAGTCAATGCTTTTTCATATATCTTCCACAGGTGGGTTATTAAGCTATTTTTCGGGCCTGTTTGGCACTAAGGAACGGCGCATCCTCATACTGGGGCTAGACGGAGCTGGGAAGACAACAATCTTGTACAGGTTACAAGTGGGAGAAGTGGTCACAACCATACCAAGTAAGAGACTCACAATGAATCAAACAAAAACCTATCTTTTAGCATCATCAAGTGTCTCCCCACAGTCTTCGCTCTTCAGCAGCATTTATCAGTTGGTCTGCTGACACCCCTCAGTGCTACGACAAAAGGTTGTCAAGTATCTTCTTATGATATCTTTCTCTGCCTCTTTTTCCACAGATCTTTCCAGTGGTCACAAAATGTTGCAGTTTCTTTCTTCTCATAACATGATCAAAATAATGATGACTGTCTCCTTCTGATGTTTCTCTTTACTATTTGTATTTTTAGAGTTATTAGGATATGGCGTTGTGAACTTGGGGCTTTAAGGCGGCAGGGCTGGAGCAGTCACTACCAACTATGTAGGTGAAGATTTGTATTTTTCTCTGAATTGTTTTTTTTTTAAATCCAAGGATCAAACCCAGGTTTCCTGCATGGGAGAAAAATGCCTTAACCACCTGGCTAGCCTTGCTAAATGAATTTGAAGAAGGAATCAGCAGTTTACATTACTATACTCATGACAATCCAATACGTTCTCTGAACTGTTTTTAAAAAGTTTTTTTTTTTTTTTACATTGCTTTCAATAGCAAGCGTTGCCTTCAATTTCATCATTCACTACTCATTTTCCAGAACACCACTTTTGACATGAAAGAAGGACTTCTTTGAATGTCAAGGCAAATCATATAGAAGCTACATTTTGGCCATCTCTGTGCTGCCACTATCGAACATAGACCCTTACTACAAGTAAAGAAGATAAAATCATAACAAAAAAAAGGAATGTCTTAGAAGCACTGGCGGTATAAGAAGAAGAGATAAACTGATGACATTAGTAGACTTGGCCTGAAACTGGTCATACAGTTGATTAAAGAGCAACAGATCAGATGTTTTGGCTATCTGTTGAGAATGCTGCTGTACTAACTGTCATAGAGAGGCACACTGAAGAAATATGATGAACACAGAGCAGTGGAAAGACCATATAAAAGATAGAAATATGATATCAAGAACTACCTTAAGGAAATGATCATCATCTTGTGTGGTGCATTGGAAAGAGCACATCGTCTGCTCTAACCACTTTGATGACGTAACTGACGGATGAGAAAAGTAGAATTGTCTAGAACTGGCATCATTTAAAATTCCATGCATTGATTGGAAGATTAATCCCCTAGGGAAAGAGGGGGGGGGGGGGGGGGGGGTGGGTGAGTAGAGGTTCTGGAAGATATTCGACACTGAGAGGGAAACAGTCGGATGTTTAATCAGGTTGAAACTGATACTATTAGCATGTCGACTCTTCATTGGTTACTGAAGAAGGGGATGGGGCATGTGTGGGAATGTCCTGTGAGCAGTGGTGTCAATTCTCGATTCATTCATTCATTGTAAAATGGGCACCAATGAAACTGTATTGATAAATAACTAATAATCAACGCTGTGTGGACTAGACTTGTGGACACTGATGAGTCTCTGACACTAACCTGATGGTGTGAAATTACTACAACTGGTTTGAGGAGGCGAGGTCCACCTGAGGTATCGAAAAGATTGCAAATGAGAGAATGGAATAGACTGAGAGCCCTGTAATGGCACAACATTAAGATGATAATGACTTCTCTAACCTTGAAAGTTGCTAATTGTTCGAATGTGTTCCGTGCTTCTGCAGCAATTGGCTTCAATGTTGAGACAGTCACTTATAAAAATCTCAAGTTCCAGGTCTGGGATCTGGGAGGACAAACCAGCATCAGGTTGGTAGTCTTATATTTATGCTTCTGACTTTGCATGCATAATCTTACTGACCTTACAGACATTGTTACTATTCCAGTATTAATGTTATTAACCATGCAGACCTTACTATTTCAGTATTAATGTTCCAGACCTTACAGGCACTGTTAATATTCTAGTTAGTTGCGTATCCTTTACAGGATGTTGCAGAACCAACCCCAAGGGCTGTTGTGTGGTTTTTCTAGGCAGTAGTTTGCCATTTCTTCTGGATGGTCAACTTTCTTGATACTACTGTTGAAACCAATGCAAGGCGCATGGCCCGCAGCTGGTATCGAACCCGACATCCCAGCATTACGAAGCGTTCGCATCGACTTAGCCACAGAGCCGACTAATATTCTAGTACTGACATTAATAATGTTACATATCTTACAGGCATCGTTACTGTTCCATTATTAATGTTACTGACCTGGTAGGCATTTTTACTATTCCAGTATTAATGCTGTTTTTAGTGCCACATATTTTACATTGTTACTGTTCTAATATTTATGCTGTTATATAAGCAGCATGCTTTCTGCACAATGCCAGGTCATTGTTACAACTCTAATACTGTTGCTGTTATATATGTTTTAGGCTGTATTGGCATTGTTACAACTCTAATATTGACACTGTTATGTATGTTTCAGGCCATATTGGCGTTGTTATTACTCCAACACTGATGCTATTATTTATGTCGTGGACAGCATGGACAGAGACCGTATTGGTATTAGCAAACAGGAACTTGTTTCAATGTTGGAGGTTGGTCATTTGGTTTCAGTTTATCTACATCATATCTTTACATTTATCTACATCATATCTTTACATTTATCTACATCATTTCTTTACATTTTTCTACGTCATAACTTTACTTTTATATGCATCATATCTTTAAATTTATCTACATCATATCTTAGATTTATCTGTATCATAACTTTACATTTTTCGACATCATAACTTTATATTTATCTACATCATATCTTTACATTTATCTACATCATATCTTTACATTTATCTACATCATATCGTTACATTGATCTGTATCAAATTTTTACATTTATCTGCATCATACCTCTATATTTATCTGTATCATATTGTTTACATTTATCTACATCATATCTTCACATTTATCTGCATCATATCTTTACATTTATCTCCATCATTTCTTTACATTTATCTTGTTATTGTTCAGTCAAGTCTTAAGCAGTTGGTACAGAGTTCTAATAGAGTTTTCTCGACTTCCCGCTGAGTTCCCTTTCGAATAACTGTTGATAAGTTGAATTTATATTTTTCAACACTATATTCATTGAAACTGGTTAAAAAAATTTTTACAGCAAAGTTCATTCCATTTGTGACGGCATGTCAGTCCTCCAGGCAACTCAGAGGGATATACGAGACAACATGGAGAGAGAACTGACGCCAGCTAAACACACCCTCAGAAAACAATCAAATTGTTCTCCAGTGGATCCTGGCTCACTGCGGCATACCAGGAAATATGTTAGCAGACAAGACTTGCTAAAAATGGAATATAGGAGAAACAACACACCAATCTATTGTCCTTACCAGAAATCAGAAAACTTTTCCAGGAAAAATACAAGGGATTGTGGAGAGAACAAACTAACAGTAAATATCCACAAGACTTCATCAGCAGACTCAACAGAAAGCAACATACAACAATTTTCCATCTACGAACTGCAGGCTGACTACAATATGCATACAATAAAGATTGTACAGTCCTAACAGTAAGCCTGTCAAACCGGACCACAAACACCTGAGCACATTCTGCATACCTACCCACTCTACCTACAACTTCGAAAAGACACCTGGCCTCAAGAGCAAACAGTGCAGAGCAAGCTATAGGGAACTATGAAGGACCTGCTGCTGACATGAGAGTTCATAGAGGCAACCCACCTAATAGTCTGATCTGAGCATACGAAACCGAACGCAGAGAAGAAGAAGAAGAGATTTTATATCAGCCACAACACATCACTCAGCAAGCTATCAGCCACAACACATCACTCAAGTTATCAGCCACAACACATCACTCAGCAAGCTATCAGCCACAACACATCACTCAAGTTATCAGCCACAACACATTACTCAGCAAGCTATCAGCCACAACACATCACTCAAGTTATCAGCCACAACACATCACTCAGCAAACTATCAGCCATAACACATCACTCAGCAAGCTGTCAGCCACAACACATCACTCAACAAGCTATCAGCCACAACACATCACTCAGCAAGCTATCAGCCACAACACATCACTCAGCAAGCTATCAACCACAATACATCACTCAACAAGTTATCAGCCACAACACATCACTCAGCAAGCTGTCAGCCACAACACATCACTCAAGTTATCAGCCACAACACATTACTCAGCAAGCTATCAGCCACAACATATCATTCAAGCTATCAGCCACAACACATCACTCAGCAAGCTATCAGCCACAACACATCACTCAGCAAGCTGTCAGCCACAACATATCATTCAAGCTATCAGCCACAACACATCACTCAGCAAGCTATCAACCACAATACATCAACAATACATCACTCAACAAGTTATCAGCCGTAACACATCACTCAAGCTGTCAACCACAACACATCGCTCAACAAGCTATCAACCACAGTACATCACTCAGCAGGTTATCAGCCATAATACATCTTTCAAAAAGTTATCGGCCACATCACTCCAATAAGCTATCAACCACAACACATCACTCAACCAACAATCCATCAACTGCAACACAACTCTCAGCCAGAAAACCTGTGTGGGGATTGAACCGAAACCACTGTCTCAACAAGCAGGTGTATTAACTCCCAGGCCACTCCATCCCTTAATTGGATGACTTTTTGCAGGAAGACGAACTGAAGAAGTCTGTCCTGGTTGTGTTTGCAAACAAACAAGACATAGAGGGCGCTATGAGTGTTACAGAAGTTGCCAATTCTCTTGGGCTTCCAGCTTTGAAGAATAGAAAGTATCAGATTTTTAAGACTTCTGCTATCAAAGGAGAGGGTTTAGATGAGGCAATGGAATGGTAAGCTTCATTTCCAATTATGATTTTCTATGTTTATAATAATTCAGTTTATATTTAGTTGACAAGGAATAGTTATAAAAAAGGGCTTTTGCCATGCCATTTCTCAAGGGGTATATGATGCTAAAACATGTGTATAGCCCAGTCAGTACTACATAAGTGATGTGGTCAGAATGGTGCTGACTGCCTTTACTTTCCAGGATATTTTCTGTGACCCATGCTAGTCTGGGTTCATGTGGGAACCCTCGGTCAATGAAAATTTGTCTGCTCATGTACTTTAAACCAAAACCTTTCCCAGGAAACTGTTTAGCTAGCTGTCCAGCAACTGTCAATTGAGACGAGAAAGAGAATTCTTGAAAGCTATATAAAACCTGCCTTGATATCCGGAAGTGAATCATGGACAGTTGGTCAATTTGTGGAAACTTATGTGGAAGCAGCAGAGGTGTGGTTTTTAAGGTGAATAATGAGAATGCTCTGGACAGAAAAAAGAGTAATGAAGACGTCTTGAAAGAAACTGACTCATGAATTGATTGCCCACACCAGAAGAAGACAATCTACATTCTTTGGTCATGTAATGAGAAGGAGAAAACTTGAGAACATCGTGACAGTAGGAAAGCTGGAGGGGAGGAGAGCAGAGGCAGACTGAGAGACCAGATGCTGGACAGTCTGACATCATGGCATGGAGGATCATCTATGTCAGAGTTGACTGAAAGTACATGAGGCAGAAGGTTGTGGATAGACATGACTACCAACGCCACATGACATGGACTTAAGGAAGAAATCATCTACCTGTCAACTAATTTGTGAAAATAAATTTGTCTATAACCCGTCATTAGGCAGCAGGTCTTTTGCAGAATTCAGTGGGTTTGTTGTTGATTTGGATCATGAGAGAAAGTGAAGTCATGTTCTGCAATGCATAAAGGAATAGCCCGTACCTCTCCTTGGGCACCGGCATTCTCTGTGCTGGTTTTATGGACACTCCTGCCACATGTCCACATCGTGCCCTCTCGGATAATGGCCTCTTGTTGGCATAAACAGAGATGGCAGGGAATCTTGGAGCTGGTGGTCCCAACAGATGCTGTGTCTAGACAACCTCTGGCATTCATCAACCCACCCCACAATGCATGGGTGACATCATCTACACTAAGAAGTTTTTCTAAAATAACATGTTGGTGCCCGGGTCACCAGTGGCTCGCCGGTTGATAACTTTGTTGCTGTCGGAACAGTATTTGGGTCTGTCTGCTCTGATCACATCAACACTGCAGGAGTCATTTTTCAGGGCTCTTGTTGATGTGCAGTGCTAAGCCATTTTGTATGGTGCACAGAACTTGGTCACAATTATAACCTAAAGCTCCCCCTCCGGGGATCCTGGTTGAACATAAAGATTTGTTTTTCTCAAGCAAGGCATCTACCTACGTACAGTAAGGGAAGTTTACCAAGCCTCCTACAAAAGTTCATGTGTCTTTCGATTGTGAATCTTTTGATTGTGAATCTTTTGATTGTGAATCTTTTGATTGTGAATCTGACTAAATGGCAACAAAAGGTTCATATTGGCCACTGTCATCCTAGAGATAGGACGGACGTTTTCGTTGAGGTCAGAGTACATCTGCCTGATGGGCAAGAAAACAACAGACTACACAAATTTGTAAAACAAATGCACAGGCAAAACTCAGGTCCTGGGATAAACTCAAAGTCCAGAAATGGATGAACAACCAGGACTTTCCACCGGAGTTAACAGCTGGTGAATGCAAACAAAGAAAGAAGATTTTAAATGAAGTAACAATGTTAAATGTTTTTGTTGTTGTTGCAGGTTATCCAACACATTAATTCAGACAAAGTAACAGTTGACCATGTCAGTGATGAGAGATGAGACAGGTGGGGAAGAGGAGTTTAGATGTCGTAAATTACATTACTGGAGGTATTATAGCTACCACCTGTGAGAAAACAATTCTGATATCGGAGCTGCTGCTGATGGTGGTACAGACAAGGTGCGGAAAGGGCAGGTGGATGTAGACTACAAGAATGCCTCAGAGCTTAGGTCCTCAGTGGCTGTGTTTACATGTGTTTGTGACTGGACAAGGCAGTGTTGTTACTTGCAAGCTCTTTTGATCATGTCGTGTTTGTAGATATTTGCTTCATTGATGCCATCTTCTTCTATCTTCACCTTCAGCCTCATAACTCTTTCAGTCACAAGGAACACATCCTACGTTCATAAGTTCCTACCTGGAAGCCCAGTCAATGCCAGATGCTCTGATTTTACATCTCTCTTAACCATCCCTTGGGCCTCTGATGCTAAACCCCCTGGGACTGAAAGTGTTAACACCCACTGAAGCATGAACCCTCAACCAAGACATGTCTGGTCATTCCATCTTTTGTCATCTCTCTCAGCTCACTCCATGTCCTCACTTTATTCAAGGTGTCTGTAATTCTGTCTGTGTATTTTTTGTCTTCTCATATTCCTTGTACACTGAGGGTTCCCATGCAAGCATATTCTAGTTATATAACCCTCTAACCCTGGGGACCTACACAAAAATATGTCATGATCCCGCTGGAATTTCATTAACAAATCCTGGGGTCAGGGAGGGGACAATTGTACATAAGTAATAAATCCATGGAAAATGTTTTTATCAACATTTTGTGTGTGTAATATATAAGGAGTTAGTTAATTGTATATCCTTTACAGGACATTGCAGAACCAATCCCAGCATTTTTGAGCTGTTGTGGTTTTTCTAGGAAAATTTATGTTCAGTAGTTTGCCGTTGCTTGCTGAATGGTCAACTGTCGGAACCACTGTCGAAACCAACGCAAGACACATCATCCGCTGCTGGGATCAAACCCGGCACCCCGGCATTACGAAGCGTAAGCCCCAGACACCAACATATAAAGAAAATAATCAATAATTAAATTTCCCAGGGCCTTAAAAACATATGTATTGGGTGACCTCGTCACCTCTAACACTGAGGTTTACGGGAAAATTTGACGTCAGCTCAAACAAAAACTCCCTAAATGCTGTTTTTACCTAATGCATTCTTATCCTAACCTCCCAAACATATACACAGGCGTAAAAACAGCTGATAGCATTAACTATGCATCACATAAAAGGTCACTATAGACAAGCTGGGAAATGACTGAGGGGGGAGGGGGGTGGAATTGAAACCAACCGAAAGTGTCGGTTTTGCAAATTCTCGGGGCAAAAAAAGTTAACACCATGTTGTCTCAAAATGTGAACTAACCAGTGCCGCCATCTTTTTCTCACCTCTTGATTCACTTGAATTTGTTTAGTTGTCTGCTAGAGAACATTTGCCTGCTGCAGGGTCTTAGACAGAACAGTAATAGAAGAAATGTGGCCTGTGGAAGTATTGTGGTCCTGAAAGTAATGTGGTTCTTCTTCGCGTTTACCGGCTGTAAACCCCAGAAAGCTCTGGGTATTTGTCCACCTCCAGACTTTCGTCTTATTCCAGAACCTGAGTGCAGCCTAGACATCGGTTTTACAGATCTGACTTAACTGTATGCAGATTTTCTATTCCTTCCTCTAAGGCAGATGCACTCCGACTTCGAAGGATGCCCCCAGTTAGTCGACTCCTACGACATGCTTGTTGGGGAGGCAGTGAGTCTATTCCCCGGAATCCACACAGGGATAATGTGGTTCTGAAAGTAAAGTGGTTCATGGCAGTCATGTGGTTTGTGAAAGTAATGTGGTTCTGAAAGTAAGGTGGTTCATGGCAGTCATGTGGTTTGTGAAAGTAATGGGGTTCTGAAAGTAAGGTGGTTCATGGCAGTCATGTGGTTTGTGAAAGTAATGTGGTTCTGAAAGTAAGGTGGTTCATGGCAGTCATGTAGTTTGTGAAAGTAATGTGGTTCTGAAAGTAAGGTGGTTCATGGCAGTCATGTGGTTTGTGAAAGTAATGTGGTTCTGAAGGTAAGGTGGTTCATGGCAGTCATGTGGTTTGTGAAAGTAATGGGGTTCTGAAAGTAAGGTGGTTCATGGCAGTCATGTGGTTTGTGAAAGTAATGGGGTTCTGAAAGTAAGGTGGTTCATGGCAGTCATGTGGTTTATGAAAGTAATGTGGTTCTGAAAGTAAGGTGGTTCCTGGGAGAAAAAACTGCCATCAGCCAGCACATAGGAAGACATAGGAAGGAAACTGGAGACATTTGAGGTATTAAAGTAACAAGACAGAGAAATTGGCAAGTGTGTGGTTGTGTTTAGTGCATGCCAGCCCCTCCCCAGCAGCCCCCACTGGGTGCTAGAGTGCCGTTCCAAGCCACTAGTTTTGGCGCATTTGACATTTCTTAGCCAATATAATTGGCACAAAGAAACGACCACAGTTATAACCGATATTGCTCGCAGTAGGTTGAACGTGGTCGATTTTGTGTGTTTTGTTTTACATAAATGGATCAATGAAAATTGGTGAGGGACAGGATGGCTTTCCAGTAAGATACAGTTGGATGAACACTTTCGATACCAGCTATAATTAATTCAATTTTTGTTTTTCTGTTATGAGACATTCTAGATTAAAACAGCCAATGTTTGATTTCACAAAAGTTGAATAGAAGGGAGCTGGTTGGTTAGTTGCATATCCCTTACAGGGCGTTGCAGAACCAACCCAAACAGCCCCTGGCTGTTGTGTGGTTTTTCTAGGCAAATTTACGTCCAGTAGTTTGCCATTGCTTTCTTGATACCACTGTCGAAACCAGCACAAGGCGCATGGCCCGCAGCTGGGATCGAACTCGGCATTATGAAGCGTTCGCATCGACTTAGCCACAGAGCTGACAGAAGGGGGCAGAATATTCTCAATCAGTATATCAGATGTGGCAAAGTGGTTATGCCAATTGTCTCAGACTCTGAAGGTCGCGGGTTCATTTCACGGCTGCGTCGTTCAGTTGACGTGCTATTTTTACAGAAAATCCTGAGGATCATCACCAGAGCTATGGAGTTCGTGTTTTGCGTGACACAATCGCTGGTGCAGTGTAGTACCTCTTGGCTGTAATCAGGGCAGAATGTT